GCCCCTGCCATTTCACCCCGCGCCGATCCCCGCCCCTGCCATTTCACCCCCGCGCCGACCCCCGCCCCCACCGGGGCGGCGTTTCCGGAGTCGGGGTCGGGCGTGCCCACCCCCCCGGACCTTCGCAACCCCGCCGGGGCCCTGCGGCCGGGGCTCGACAACCCTGCTAATTAGTAATTAGTAATCACATTGGACTTTCTGAAGTTTGAACTTGTCTTTTCGCTGCTACAGCAGCCATTGAAAGACGTTGCTCGTGCTTGATGTGCTGTTGTCAGTTACTTACCTATGTGCCATCTGCCAGGTATATCTGCCACTTCCAGGTTATGTGCCAGACGTTGGCAGCCAATTTATTTTTATAATTATTTTGCCAGATTACAGAATACATACATATTACATATATGAGTTTCCCCATTCTACGAACGATTGAATTTGTTCACAACACCCATGCGAGGTATATCTGCCAGTTGTATGCGGCAGTTGTGTTTACCATGAGTCAGGCTTATGTGCCAGGTGTCCAAGCATGTGTATGTGCCAGGTGTGTCAGCACGTGTATGTGCCCCATGTGCAAGCCAAGTGTCTACACCAGGTGCATGTGCGAGGAGTGTGTGAGGCATAAGTGCCAGTTTCATGTGCACTGGGGTCACAGCAACAAGTCCATGCCAAGGTGGTTGTTCATGTCATTCATTGCTAGTAGAGATGAAAATGACACTGAACAACACTTCAAAACAAAAAAAGGAAAAAAGAAAAGAAAAGAGAGAGAGAGAGAGATCTTGGTATGATCTGCTACAGAAGGAAAGCACATGGAGGAAACTGGTTGTGGGAAGGATGAAGGTGCGGCAAATAACTTACCACGGCGCTATTGAAGTGCAGGTCTGGGTTTGAACATGCTGCTGGATCACGCTCCTGTAGCCATCAGCCAGTGTCACAAGAAAGGCAATAATGTTACGATTCTGGCCAATTTCGAAGTATACATTCATCAGAAAGTACAATGCCGTCCAATTGCAAAAAGAAATGAATGAACTTGAGAGGAGAGAGAGGGAAAGAAGAAGAAGAAGAAGTAAGAAGAAGAAGATGATGTACTCCAGCATAGGCCAATGACAAGGCTCTTCTTCTTCGCCAACCAATCTCCTACTCCTTATCTCCTCCCCTCTTATTCAAACAAGAAATTACATTAATAATGTTGAATGGCTGAACCAGAACCAATGTCCGAATCCCACTTCTACTGCAGACACAACATTAGGTCCACCATAGCCATGGCCACCCTTCCTCTTCCTCTACATGCAGGCCGAGGCTATGGCGGAGCAATGAGGGCTCTATCCTCCTGTCCAAAGGACAACCCAAAGCAGCTATGTCGCTGCCCTTCTGTCCCAAGGTCAACACCAGGCAGCTATGCCGCTGCCCACTCAACCGCCATGCCTGACTCTGTCCCGAGCTTCCTTGATGCGGCAACTGGGGCCTTCCAGATGCAGCGCCTCACAAGGTGATGAAGATGGTGTCCGCCATAGCCAGGTAGGTACCTCGCCACTCTCCTCCTTGGTCCCCTTCTCCCTCCTCCTCCTACCGGTAGAGCTCCACCATAGCCAAGGTGGAAGCTCCCGGCTTCTTCCTCCCAGCAGCGTTGTAGTACCCAGCGCTACTCCGGCCAGCGCTCCAGCAGCGTGTCGCCAAACTTGCACACTGAAGAATGAGGCCGAGCTCTTGCCTCGGCCTCTTGATATAGCGGCCTGCTTGCCTCCTGGGCGGTGACTTCCAGGCCGCTCGGCCTCCCAAGCAACCGGTACCTCCTCCATTTCGCAGGGAAACATCATTGCAGACTCTGATATTGCCCGTACAGGCTCTAGACTCAGACTGGATGGACTGGTACCGGCCTAGACCTAGCCTACCGCTACTGGGCCTCTAAAAATGCCAACTTTGTCTTCTTCTGCTCGGCCTCGACTACCCGGCACATCTACTGCTACTGGGTGCAGTACCGGCCTACCTGCTACTTGAGTGTTTTTCCGCTGCTCTCAAGTGCCGCGGGCCTCCGGCTCCGCCACTTGAGTGTTTTCCCCTGCTGCAACCCTCAATGCCACGGCCACAGGTAAGTACCGGCCCTACGGGCCTGCCAAACAAGCAAGTACCCTTGCGGGTCACACACACACTCATGCCGACAAGCACTCAGACAGGCACGCAAGTCAACAGGCACGCACACATACAGACTTAGAAAACACAGCAGAATGCGGGAATCCCAGCAAGGCATCCATTCCATCGACAGAACTTCAGAAATCAACAGTGTTCTCAGTCTGTGTTATGGCCGGTCATTACAATAAGGGCTTTTTCAGAAACTGTTCTTCCCATTTTTTTAAGGAAAAAAAAAAAGACTCGACTGCTCTGCCAGATTTTCACCAGCACTTGTCACAGGCAAAAAGGGCCTAGTCATGATAGATAAAACCTTAAAACACAAGCCGCTTCCCACGAATAGACAAGATAAAACGTCCGCAAGGAATGGAATCTCCAATGTCAGGGACAGTGCCTGCTTCCATGACGACCTATTCCCTTTAAACCACCGCTACCTCCGAGCCGCTTTTTACCAAGGCAGAAAAGAACTCCAAGCCAAGCTTTCCCAAAGCGCCAGCATGACTTTTATTGTTTTTCGCCTTTGGCTGGCGTCAGCCGCCATTTTGGTCCGGCCTCCAAAGAACGCAGTATAGGTTATAGGGTATTCTTAGGAGGTTTCGAATTTGCCTACGAAAGGTATTGATGGTTTAAAAAAAAAGGAAAAAGACCACGTAATTTTTTTCAGAAATCATCTCAAAATTCTTGAAACTGAGGATCTGTAGAAGTTGTGAGAACCTCCTAGCCCCTTCCATTCTGGGGGCCATCAACCCGGTTGCTTATCACCGGCAAGCACGAGTTCAAGCAAAAGAAAATTCTGCAGAAAAGAGGACAGTTATACCATTGCAGTCCTAGTCGCATATCAAGGGGGGGGCTGCCACGACCGACCCAACCTCCCCCTCCCGTACCATGGCCTCCGAGGGGATACTTCTGCTGGCCAGGAAGCTTCCTAGCAGCACCCAGCCACGCAGCAGAGGGGTCTTGGGGGAGGCTAGGCGCGGGGGGGCAGTGGGGCCGTCCTAGCAGCCTCACAGGCCGCTAGTCTCCCATCCTCCTCTTTGGCTCCTACGGTCCAATTCAAGATCCCTCTCTCTCTCTTATACCCTGTCTCCTATTATACCCATGTTACCTCTATTGTGCTTACTTCCTTTTCCCCCCTCTTTACAAACATCCTGTCTCCTTCCTAATTCCCTTCCTTCCCGCCTAAGTTCCTCAGAACCTCTCAGTTCCCCCCTTTTTCTTTTTTTTCAAATTGTTGGTGCGCTGCATCAGGTCTGAGCTCACGACATAGGACACACCTCGGTGCCCTGCATACCACACCACGCAGTGACCCAGATGATCCACTGCCTTGGCTCCTGGTAGGCATGCCATACATACTACATCGTGCATACTACATAGTAAATATTATCTTAAGTATTCCGACAAGTAGAAACGGCTGCTTGATAAAATAAAAAATAAAATAAAAAAGAGGGTATTTGGACAAGATACACTGCACAGGTTCCTGGCCTGCATGGCAGACATACTATGCTGTAGTTAGTTATAAGCAAATGGACGCGATGAAAAACCCCAAACTAATTTCATTACCGCAATCTGGTATGCCTTCAGCGACTGCTTCAGCTTTCCGATGTCAGCGGATCCTTCGGAGAAGAACTGGGTGAGGTAGGCGTTCCCTAGTGTGTCTGTAAGAAGGGGCAACCACACCACAACATCAAGCAACGTGCCAGTGTCAGCTCAATATGACCATATGACTAAAACTCACTCAAGCCCTCCGTCTTCACCCAAATATAACATATACAGCCGTATTTGGCTCACCTCTCAGTCCACATGCAGTGAAATGAATTTAAATTCCCTTCAGGAGAAGAGGGTAGATACATAATTAAAAGGGCCTTTACCCGATATAGGCCTCAGGCCTTGTAAAAGAAAAGCCGCACGGGCCTTGAAAAAGTAAAGCATTGTGAAAAGGTATCTCGCCAGGGCTCAGAAACGTGAAAGCAGGTCAAAGGTCAAGTTCTCTATCAACAGGCACATCTAAATCTAAGGCAAAGGGCATTGTCAAAGGACTTACCTGTTCACCAGGAGTTGTGTATGTCATGTCTGTTCGGGTAAGGGTGTGTCTGTACGTGCAGGCAGTGTGCCTGTTCGTGCAATGGAAAGTGCCTGTTCAAGTAGTAAATGTGTCTGTTCGTTTAGAGTTGTGCCTGTCCGAAAGTGAAGTCAGTAGGCACAGTCCCAGTTCTGGTCTAAGTCAAGGGGTCAGTCCGGATCCAGACTTTCAAGTCCAAATCCAGGCGGAAGTGCCTCAGCAGCAGTTGAACCTCATTGGGACTATACTGGGATACATGCAATGCAGGGTCTGGGACAAAGGGAGAGGCTGAATTGAGCCAATGCAGACCCAGCGAGGAGTGGCTAGCACTATAAAAAGAGCTGCCTGCCTCATTCCTCGCCAGATCTCCACTGGCTGCAATGCGTGGAAGTGCTGGTGCACTTGTGCGCTGAGTCAGGAGGAGCAGCGCTGGAGGAGAAGATGCGCTGGAGGGAGGAAGAAGCCTGTACGCTGGAAGTGATGCAGCCATAGCTGCCCAGCGAGTTAGCATTAGTAGTAGAGGGTTAGTTTGTAGCTATGAGTCGTATCCAGAGTAGATCCTCATGAGTATTAAAGAATGTGTATGCATCATAGGAGGAAAGGATTGAGGCTGAGAGTGTTCATTCAAGGTTTGGCTATGGAAGATACTTACCTGAGTTGGATGTGACCTGCAGAGGTGGCGCTGATGAGTAGTGACCACATTGATGACTTGGAGACTATCTGCAGGGGTAGC